CTTTGAACAACTGTCTGTCCATTGCCAGTAATTATTATATTAAAGACCTTGACAAATTCAATGAAATTTAAGTTGCATATTATATTATTTTCATATACTTTTATTGATCAATTTTAACAATGTCATACTGAACTTAATACATAGAAAAACACCTTCATAAATATATTTGCATAATTAAGTTGACATTTAACAAAATTTAAATTAACAACGGAAATAAACGTAGAAAAGCATAAAAATGGAAAGTGTATTCACTCAAATATAAATATTTATATTAATATGCATTTTTTAATAAATTATTTATATAGAATACCTATATTTTGTCAGTTTTACCTAAAGTTAAATTATTTATACTACTGTAAGTAAAGCCCTTCATTTTCGCTCGGCCTTAATTTCCATGATTTTTGCAATAAGACAACGATTGAGATAATTAAGGGCGTGAAAATCGCGAAATTCTAAATGTATAGACTAAAAAACCTAATTGTATATATCTACATCATGTTAAAAAAAATGACTGAAAATTATAAAATTGATGCGTGTCCATGGAACAATCTGCCCAAGAATGGAAATGATAACTATTTTCACTAGAGGTCAATAGGATTTTCATGAGATTTAGTCAAGTGTGTGAGGTTGAGCACCCTGGCGCCTAGAAAGTGTGGTAAATTTTGGGCCATTTTAATCAGTACTGAGAATTTTCTGGACCAACAAATTTAGTCCTGATGGGGAGGTTAAGCCTCTTGTCCCTTACTTACGTTGCCACTCCCATTATGAACCCTTTAGTCATATATCACAAAAAATCTAGAATACTTAAGTGTGTCAACTTCCTGGTACTTCCCATAAACAGACTGGCAGGCCTGGTCATCCTATGTAGCAACCCCTGGACTGCGTAGGAGAGAGAGAACCCCTGGATTGTTAGGAGTGAAAGCAGCCCCTGAGCTATAAATCATTATTCCCCTACCGTTTGTAGAGGTTTATCTATCGTAATGTCAGGAAATAGTTTATATATGGTCTAATCATCTATCATAAAGAAACTATAAAATAGAGAATGTAAAGTAAGAATTTATGGTTTTGGTGTGAATTTCTTGAAGTTCACCCCACTGTCTGAAAAATAATCTCCTGTTGATTTAACTATCCCTGGGTACCCAGACATTCCGTTGTGCCTAAAAAACATATTAACATTTTCAACAGTTTTCCAACATTTCAGGGAACTTATAAGCAATTTCTTTTTTTTTTAAATGTTTATCTATATTATAATAATATTTGTGATTTTAGGTAAGATTTATTTACCAGCCTGTTGGTGCAAGGATTCACTGTTGGATTGGAAAAAATAAGTGAATGAATGAATAAGCAGATAAATAAAAACATAATTTATATTTAGACTACCACCATTTTAGGTTTGTTGGACTTGGGCAGCACTAAATACTTTTTGGCCTTATTATACATTAATCATTAAATTTTTCAGGAAAGGTTACAGAGGGACCATTATCATAGCTGGCTTAACATGGGTTCTTTCCTGAATATTGTTGATGTCTTTTCCTAAAAGCATAAAGGTTGAATGTCATGTACCAAATCATATGGGCATTCCTTTTTTTAAAATGTTAAAGTGCTGTTTGTGCAAATGTTGAGTGTTATACTTGCATATTATTGACGTTAGCTTAAAACATCTAACAACAAATGGTTATTTGACATTTAAATTTTGTTGATGGTGGTCTCCAGTTAAAAATATCTTGCACTGTTGGCAGTAGAATATTGATCAAAATATGTTGAGACTTACAATGAGACAGATCAAAGCAATAGTTAGTTTTATTTTTTCCTTGTTATTAGGTTCTTTAATAACAGAGCTTTGTTTATAGGGCATTTGTATGTAGCAAGTGGAAAATATGTGCTGGTAGTTGTCCTTATATCTTACTACAACTTTTTTTCTTAAGTCATTCATTGGATTGTAATTTAATTGGGTCTATGAAGAGATTGTACAATGCTATAATTTCCTTATTTATGAAAATATATATTTTAAACATTAATAATATTTAAATAATTATTTTAAGTCTTTTCACAATCAAAAACGTATAAAATCACTTGCAACGTCATTACCTCTGGTTGATTGATTCAATATTTGCAGACAGTTAACGTACAACCTCCTCCGATCTCTTGAGCGTATTCCTAGACAATTAGTAGTACATTGCGCACACACAGATAAAGTGCTTTGCCCTAGGACGCAAGCGAAATTAATGGCGTGGGATTTGAACATCCGACCTTACCGTCGTGAGGTTGAACCGCAAAAGGAAAGTAGAAAAGAAGGCGAAATATTGTGGGTGATGGAAAGAGATGGTCAGTATCAGCAAATTTATGAATAATTTGTATTTATAATAATAATTTTTAAGAGTTTAGCCACTTTCCTCCGGCAAACGTCTGGCAAAGATCCAGTATCCCTTGATGTTCCTGTGTTTGTAACATAATCCAATGTAACGTGTCCCTCTGAACATTTTCTGATTTTCAATATTTGTATAATGTATAATAATTAAATAAATAATGGATTTACCCATGTTATAAAAAAAGTTTTCAAAAATAAAGTAATTTGTTTATGCTAGAAAAGAGTTCCCTTTTTTTAGTTCCTATGCATGTAATGCAATAGGAACTATTGTAATCACTCTTGCTATTTCCTATGTTTTTTATTGTGTGTAGTGTGTATGTGTGTGTGTAGACATTTATGCAAATGCGCATGCGTCAAAGAA